GGATTGGGATGGGACAGGGACAGGGGGGTGACAGTGCCGGGGGTCCCAGGGGGGTCCCCTCACCCACCGCTCGTCCGTGGGCACGAGGTGAACGTTGTCGGTGCCGATTCCCAGGAAAGCGGCGCCTTTTAGGATCGAGTAGTGGCTCTGGGGGGAGGGGACACGGGCTCAGGGGGACCCCAGGGCTTGGGGGGACCCCAAGGATCAATCCTTGGGGGGACTCCAGGGATCAGAACTGGGGTGACCCCAGGAATAGGACCTTGGGGTGAGCCAGGGGTCAGTTTTGGGGTGAGCCAGGGATCAGTTTTGGGGTGTCCCCGAGGACCAGGTTTGGGACCAGATTTGGACCAGTACTCAGATGCATTTTCGGGGTATCCCCAGCCCCATTTTCAGGGTGTCCCCAGCCCCATTTTCGGGGTGTTCCCAGCCCGTTTTGGGGGTGTCCCCTCGCCCTGTCCCACCTCCCTGGAGGCGAAGATTGCCAGGCGCGGGAGGTCGCGGCTCCCTCTGCTCCGACTCTCCGGGAAGCGCCGGAATCGCGCCACGTTCATGGCCAGCATGTTGGACATGGAGCCCCCTGCCCCAAACGAGGGGGGGTCAGGGACCCCCTGAACCACCCCCCACACCTTGGGGGGGGGGGAAAACCCCCCTGGATTTGGGGATACCGGGAGCGAAGATCCCGTCGCCGTCGCTCCACCCCACGAGCTCGCGGAGCTTGGCCAGGACCTGCTCCTCCAGCAGCACCAGCACCGGGGCCACCTCGTACGTGTACCTAGGGGGGGCACGGTAGGATTTTGGGGGGTCCCCACCCCTCCCTCGGGGTCCTCTGCACCCCGAAAACCTGCCCCCGAACCCCAAAATCCTCCCCCCCCCCGGAACCTCAGCATCCCAAATCCCTCCAGCAGCACCAGCACCGGGGCCACCTCACACGTGTACCTTGGGGGTAGGGAAGGATTTTGGGGGGCCCTCACCCCTCCCTCGGGGTTCTCCGCACCCCAAAAACCTTCTCCTGAATCCCAGATTCCCCCCTGACACCCTAAAATCCTTCCCCCCGGCAACCTGAGCGTCCCAAATCCTCCCCCAGCACCCCAAAACCCTCGGCCAGCACCTCCCGCTCCCCCCGCCCTGAGGGAGGTCTGGGGGGGGGGGAGGGTCCCTCAGGTTTTTGGGGGGGTCCCTCAGGTTTTTGGGGTCCTGGCAGGTTCGGGGGGGTCCCTCAGGTTTTTTTTGGGGTCCCCCAGCCCGGCAGGTTTTTTGGGGGTCCCTCAGGTTTCTGGGGGATCCCTTCAGGTTGGTGGGGTCCCCCAGCCCGGCAGGTTTTGGGGGGGGGGTCCCATCAGGTTTTTGGG